CTCTGTCACCAGGCTGGAATGCAGTGGCGTGATCTCGGCTCACTGCAATCTCCACCTCCCAGGTTCAAGTGATTCTCCTGCCTCAGCCTCCCAAGTAGCTGGGATTACAGCCATACACAACCATGCCCGGCTAATTTTTGTATTTTCAGTAGAGATGGGTTTCTCCACGTTGGTCAGGCTGGTGTTGAACTCCTGACCTCAGGTGATCAGCCCGCCTCGGCCTCCCAAAGTGCTGGGATTAGAGGTGTGAGCCACTGTGCCTGGCCTCGTACCTGATGTAATGTCCGTACTGCCGAGCTCTGTGGTGTGAATACTTCCCCTGTGGCTGAATGGAAACTACCAACCCGAGCAGGAAGGAGACGCGGCAGCCTCCGCTAGGGAGTGTTCCTACCTGCAGACGCAACAGACACAGCAGCTCAGTAGGCGACAGCTAGGGTAAAATGCTAGCGAACTAATTAGGAAGCGGTGAGGCTAGAATATTTATTATGGTTGCTTTTAATATAATTTATATAGGCTGGGTGTTGTGGCTCATACCTGTAGTCCCACCACTTTGGGAGGCCAAGGGATGAGAATTGATTGAGCCCAGGAGTTTAGGACCAGACTGGGCAACATGGTGAGACTCTGTCTCAACAAAAAATATATATATATAAATTAGCCAGGTGGTGGCATGCACCTGTAGTCCTAGCTACTTAGGAAGCTGAAGAGGGAGGATCCCTTGATCTCAGGAGTTCAAGGCTGCAATGAGCTATGATTGTGCCAATGCACTCCAGCCTGGGTGATGGAGTGAGACCCTGTCTCAAAAAGTAATAATATAATTTACATAATTATAAGTTTTGTGACACTTTTTTTTTTTTTAAGAAGAGATGGAATCTTGCTATGTTGCTCAGGCTGGTCTTAAACTCCTGGCCTGATGACCCCCCAGCCTTGGTCTCCCAAAGTGCAGGGATCACAGGTGTGAGTCGCTGTGCCTGGCCGTATGACTCAGTTTGTTATAATAACTGTATGTAAAACTGACCTACACTACTGCACCCAGCAGTCACGTGACCCAACTCATCTTCAGCGCCAGCAGCAGTCACTGAGTCCTCCTTTCACTTCGAATCTCTGATTTTCCCTTCTGCACAGCAGCCTGAGAAAAGTCTGCTTTCGAAGGGCTCATGTCATTAGATGGGACGGTCCTAGATAGGAGGACCCTCCTGGAAGAGAGAGCTCATCACACTGACAGGTTCAACCACACTCAGGGGCTGCCTGAGGGTGAGGAGCCCCCTGAAGGTCATTCTTAGAACTCTGCCACCGCAGAACCCCACAGGCCATTGGAGGGACAGGGTTTACTGTAAAACAATGTGAGTCACATATACAGATTAGCCCTGCTGCCCCTAAAGGGCCCAAGCTGATCCCACCGTTCAGCAGGGCTGCTCACAGGGCACTGGCCTGTCCCTGTTTAAGGCGATCCCTGGAAGGCTGTGGAGGAGCCAGACTGGGGCCCGCGCTCCGGACGAGTGGTGAGCGTTGTGGAGAGCCCAGCTGCCTGCCGTGTTGAACCCTGGACCAAGAATCAGTCTGTCCCTGGCTCCCTTGGGGGTGGGGAAAGATGAGGTGTATCGGGCAGGGTCCAGTCCAGAAACAGAAATCAGAGCAACGATTGTAGAGGCAGTTGTTCCACCAGGTATTGAGAAACAGAAAGGCAAAAAGGGAACACAGGTGTCATGGAGGAGACCCCTGCTAGCACCGGCTCCATGCAGTCGACCCTGGGATAAGAGAGGAGAGCTGGGCTCTTTAGAACTCGGAGCTGGGAAGGCGGGTGTCTGCCAGCTGCCGGGTGCTGGGGGTCTGTGGGGTGTGTGATGAGTAATTCTGCGGGGGTGGGAAAGCCACAAAGTGGATTCTGCTGCTGCTCTGGGAAGGAACGGTCACTGCCCCTGCCCTGCCCCTGGGGAGAGAAGAGCCGGGGGGGGGGAGGAAGAGGTGGTCGGCAGAAGCCCGTTCTCTTCACAGGCTTCAGTTTCACGCTGTGGTCCCTCCTGGCTGTGCCTGGGAGGGAGCCACTGCCGTGCAGAGATGTGAGTTCCAGAGGCACGGTCTGGCACAGAGTGGCGGTTTCCAGCTGAAGGACAATCGTAACAGCAGGACGCCTTTCTCTGGGGTCCCGGGCTCCCGTCCTGGACCTCGGCACCCCACCCCCCACGCGTCCTCATCTTCTGAGTGTGGCTTTGTCTTGCGCATGCAGTTGGCTGGGTAGACTCTGGAAGCGTCCAGACGGGCTTGTGATGCTGATGAATAAGCTGATTTTGATGGGGTGTATGGAATGGAGATGCTAGCCCAGGGGCTCAGCTCACTCGTGCTCTCATTTAAAAGCAGAAAATAGCGACTTCATTCTCGGATACGTTTGCCAGCCCCGCAGGATTAATTACACGCCCAGAAGCAGTGGAGCAGAATATTTTGGCAGGATTTTTAGGATTTGTGTCATCATGGCTTAATATGTGTTTCTTTAGAGCTGGTTAGAATTTTAAAGGATTTGAAATACTGCAAGCTCTTTGTGTATAGAGGCTGTGGAATCAGGCTGGTACATTTGCAAAGTGCCAGTTTTATTTTTTATTTTTATGTTTTTTTGAAACAGGGTCTCACTCTGTTGCGCAGGCTAGAGTGCAGTGGTGCGGTCACCGCTCACTGCAGCCTCTACCTCCCAGGCTCATTGATCCTCCCATCTCAGCCTCCCGAGTAGCTGGGACTTCCGGTGTGTGCCAGCACGCCTGGCTGATTTCTGTATTGTTTGTAGAGGCAGGGTTTTGCCATGTTGCCCAGGCTGGCCTTGAACTCCGGGCCTCAAGCTGTCCTCCCACCTCAGCCTCCTAAAGTGCTGGAATTACAGGCATGAGCCACCGTGCCTGGCCGCAAAGTGCTAATTTTAACTTTTTAGATTAATAAGACTGCTAACATGTATTTCATTTGTTTAGTGGTAATACCCGCTTCAAAGAAAGACGCTGGTAAATACAAATCCTAAGCAGATAGCTCAACTGATTATCACAAAGCAAATCCCACCCAGTGGAGAAACAAATTTGAGAAGCCTGAAAGCCCCTCCCATCGCCTGCCACCCCCTGCCCTGGAAACAGCCGCTCTCCTGGTTGCTGATACCAGAGCTGGGGCTACCTGGCTTTGAACGTGAAGGTGGAACTCAAGGATGGTTGGCTGTTCAGATGAAACAGGGAGAGAGGGTTTGGGCTTTGCTGGTGCACGGGAGAGGGCAGGGATCGCCCCTGGAGATAGGGAAGGAGGCCAACGCTCCGGCTATCTCTAACCCTCACCCACTCCCTCCCTCTCTGTCCTCACACACTCACTCCCTGTCTCAGGCTTTTGAGCATCGTGTCCTGGGAAGAGGGGTCAGCCGTGCAGCCCACAGGGCCCTTGGCCTGGCTTCCTCCAAGGGGGTGGGGTAGACGCCCGCATTTTCACGGCAGAGACGGCCTCCCAGCCCCTGTGCCCCCAAGGTGTGTGGACAGACGGGCATTGCCTTTGTTTTATTGTTTAATTTATTAGTCTTATTAAGCGCTTTCATTGGATGGGATTTCTGGAATGATCCGTGATGTGTTTCTCCATGGAGGTCCTGCAGGCTGGGCAATGGCCTCCCAGGCTGGTTGCTCCCCATTGAGGTAAGCCCCGCTGCAGACATTCAAGGCCCTGCACACGCAGATTTCACGTGCGACTCGTGGAGAGCCTTCTGCTCCGATTCGTCGGCCCTCCGGCCTGCGCCCGGGGGCCCTGTGCCCGCTGGGGCTCATTGACTCCCCTCGTCCAAGTCAGCGCCTGCTGGGGTTCACGGGACCTTCCTGTTCCTTCTCTGCCTTGCAGGTTTTGGGATTTGAGATCGACGCGGTGAACTCTGTCCAGTTTTCAAACCACACAGGTAAGGCGTCGGCTCCAGCGGCTGGCGCAGAGCAGAAGGGGTGGGGGTGGGGCTTTCGTGTGGACGGGAACTGGCGTCCCTGGTGTCGCTCGGCAGAGCCTGCACAGCACGTCAGGGCATAGCCCTGGGTGGCCTCGCCTCTGAGCAGGGGTGTGTTGACTCAGCTTCACTGCCTTGGGGCGTGTGACCCAGTGCAGGTGGCAGAACCTCTTGGCGCCTCGGTTTCCCCTCTGTAAAACGGGAGAGCGATCCTAACACCGGCTGTGGGGTTGCCAGAGTTGATTAGGTCAATGGCTTGAAGCGCTTGGACCGAGGCCTGGCTCGTGTGTGCGTCTGTCTCCGTGCATGGGGACGCCGAGGACTTTGCAGGCTCAGGGCACTGAGGGTGGCCGGCCTCGGAAGCCCCTCACAACATCCCGGGCCGTGCTGCCCACACCCCAGCCCCATGGCCTGGAGGTGGAGGCTCGTGGAGTCCTCCCTCCTCTCTGTGGTCCCTGGACTGCTTCGTTGGCAGGAGAACAAAGCCATTTGGTTCTTTGAAATACCCCATGTTGCTTCCCCTGAAATTTCTTTGAACCCAGACGGAATCTTGGGAGCACAGAATGTCCCAGAAACAGCATTGACAGGATGTGGGGGGGCCTGGCCCCACCCTTGGGAGCAGGAAGGAATGCCGTGGTTTCTCTTGGGGCGGGCATGACACGTGCTGAGTGAGGAAAGAGCTGCTCGGCCGGCCCAGGTGGACAGGCTCCAGCCCTGCCAAAACCCTCTCCTGCCTTTGCTTGCCGGGCACACTGGGGCTGCGAAATACGGAGATTGTCCCAAAGCCTCGGGCCTCCGGGAGCCTCCCCGGGCCCACACGTTCGTCCTGGCTGCTCGCCACCCTCCCGTAGGATTGAGTTTTCAGTGGGCGAGCTGGCTGGCTTGGACAGTAAAGCAGGGTGTTGAGTGTGTTTCTGGGGACGGTGTTGTCCTCCGTCAGCATTGGGTCAACACCCGAATAGACCCTGGCGTGGATTCCAGGATGCGGGAAGGGCCCCGGGCTTTGGTGATGCCTTCCAGGCATGCTGGAAGCTTCTCAGTGGGTGCTGGGCTGGCTGACCTGAGGACTCTGAGACAGAAAGGGGTCTCTGGCCTGCCCTCAGAGTGCTGGGATGACAACAGGACCCCAGGCACTTGGGAGCCTCTGCAGGTGCAGTGCCAGACGACCGGCTTGGGGACTTCCCTTCCCATGGGGCCCAGCCTCTGGTTCCTGGGAGCCCCCACTGCAGCCTCCTCCAGATGCCATGGCGGGCCTGCTGGTTCAGGCTCCCTTAGCCAGCTCCGGCTGTGGCCGTGGCTGGCTCCCAGCACCCTGTACCCACACTCTCGGGGTCAGCTGTCTGTGCGACCTGATCAGGAGGCCCCGGGTAGCTTCCCCAAGGCCGCCTCCGTGGCTCAGGGGCAGCTCCCTAGGGCACTGCCAGCGGGCATCACTCGCCCCTGTCCTGGCGCCTTCTGCCTGCTCCCTTCCCTGCCCCGCCCACACTGTGCTGCCAGGGAGTGAGGCTGGTACGCCGGGCACCTGCTCTGGGTACCGCGGGAGCTGGTGGTCAGGATGGGGCACTTGACCACCTCCATGCAGCCCCTCGGCCCCCCTAGGCTCTCGTGCCGCCCACCGTGAGACCTTCACGGAGCTGGAGGTGCTTTTTGTTTTTTGGGTTTTTGGTTGTTTTTCCTTTCCCCCACCCCTGCCCACTGGCTAGAGGTGCTTATTTTTCACCAACATCACCTCCAGGAAGCATTTCACTGGGCCTGATTATGCACAAGAAAGACTTCCGCACACGCCATGTGCCTCGTGCGTTGTGGGGACTGTTCTGCTCCGGGCACCCTTGCTCCAGGGCCACGCTGCCCGGGCCATCTGAGGGCCGCGTTGCCATGTCTTCCTGCTGCGTGGCCCTTCGTGTATGCCCAGGACGAAGCTCATGCCCTGCGTGACCAGCCACGTGAGCTCAGCCACAGGCAGCCCTGCAGATACCGGGTTGTTCCCACTTTCTGGCTGTTGGGGGTCATGCTGCCGTGAACGTTTGTCTAGACAGTTTTTGGGGGGATGTGTTTTCAGTTCTCCAGTGCACACCTAGGTGTTGGAGGTGGGGTCACACAGGCTGCGCCTCATTTGGCAGGGAGCTGGGATGACGCTGCCAGGGAGCTCGTTAGCGACTCTGCCAAGGGTTTTCTTTTTTCGTGTGTGTGTGTGTGTGTGTGTCAAGGTCTCTGTCATCCACGCAGGAGTGCAGTCGTGTGATCATGGCTCACTGCAGCCTTGACATCCCAAGCTCAAGAGATCCTCCCTCCTCAGCCTCTCAAGGGGCTGGGTCTACAGGTGTGCACCACCACACTTGGCTAATTTTCCTGTTTTTCATAGAGATGGAGTCTCACTATGTTGCCCAGGCTGGTCTCGAACTCCTTGGGCTCAAGCCATCCTGCCCCCTCAGCCCCTCACAATGCAGGGTTCACAGGCATAAGACTCCACGCCCCAGTCTTTTCCTTTCTCTTTTTTAGAGACGAGGTCTCTCTGTTGCCCAGGCTGGCCTGCAGTGGTGCAGTCAGCTCACCACAGCCTTGACCTCCTGGGCTGAAGCGATCCTCCTGCCTCCTCTGCCTCACGAGTGGCTGGGACTGCAGGTGTGCACCATGTGCCCACCGTGGGCCCAGGGTTGTAACTGGGTGGTCACGTGGGCAGCTTTTGCCTGGGATGGCCACAAAGCCAGACTGCCAGTGGACACGGGTATTCCACATAAGCCACATTGTTGGTTCCCTGATACCCGTCGGGGGGGGGAAGCTGAGCCCCGAGCTGCCTGCAGAGCCCACCTGGTGCAGGCCTTGCCACCTCAGGGCTGCTGCTCGTGCTCCTGCACCCTCCCCTGGCTAAGCCCCCATTCCTCAAGGCCACCATTCATTTTTCCACACTCTGAGCTGTGCCCCCAAACCCAGGACAGCCGGGCTTGGCAGCCTCCCCCTTGCGGCCAGCATTCCCAGTGGCCCCTTCAAGAGGGTTTCCTGGAGCTTCCTGTCTGAGCTTCCTGGCCTGAGGGCATCAGGAAGGAGCTTGCGGAGCTAGAGGTCAGCAGGTGGGCGGGTCACACGTCCTGGCTTTTGGAGCGTGGAGCCAGAGAGGGTGGGACAGGCGACCTGCTGCTGGGCTTGGTGGTCCTTGCTGCAGGGAAGAGGAGGCTGCTGAGAACACAGGAGCTGCAGGGCTGGAGAGGGCTAGGACCGGGCGCCTGCCAATGGGCAGCAGCGAGGGACCAGGACCAGGCACCTGCCGACGGGCAGCAGCGAGGGGAGGGGCCGGCCCAGACTCCCTGGCCAGCTAGGGTCGGACAGGCGCGCCAGGCCCCTTGGACTTCCCAAGGAGCCACTTATTTGGCGTCTGTTTTTTCATCTGTAAGTGGAATGAGTTGGACAGGGGAGCCAAGTGCCCTCCCCTGTTCGAGAAGGTTCTTGTGGGCTCTGAGCCGGTACCATGTCCTGCAGTGGGCAGGGGGCACCCTGGAGTGCGAGACCACGCCCCCTTGTTCCAACAGGAAGCTGGGCCTCAGAGGGACCTGGGGCCTGCGTCTGAGACCTGGCAAGGGCTGGACATCTCCCCATCCTCACGGCTGTTATGGCTGAATTGTGTCCCCCCAAATTCTCATGTTGCAGCCTTACCCCAGCACCTCAGAATGGACTGGATTTGGAGATGGGGCCTTTATAGAGGTCACCAGGTTAAAAGAGGCTGTCAGGGTGGGCCCTAATTCAGCCTGATCAGCATCCTTGTGAGAAGAGATAAGGACACGGACGCACACAGGGACAGCCCCATAAGGACACAGGCGTTGCTGTCTGAAGCCCGGGGGAGGGTCCTCAAGGACCGGCCCTGGAGATGCCATGACCTTGGACCCCAGTGCCCAGGAGTAGGAGAATCAGTGTCTGTCACTGGAACCGCCTGGCCGTGGTCCTTCCCGATGGAACTCTGTATTAGTCCATTCTCACACTGCTAATAAGGTCATATCCGAGACGGGGTCATTTACAAAGGAAGAAGGTTTACTTGACTCACAATTCAGCAGGGCTGGGGAGGCCTCAGCAAACTTACTGCTGTGGCCGAAGGGGAAGCAAACACATCCTTCTTCACATGGCGGAGGCAAGAAGTGCAGAGTTGGGGGGCCCAGGGTTTTGAAACCCCCTTATAAAACCGTCAGCTCTTGTGAGAACTCACTCACCATCACAAGAACAGGATAGGGGAAACGGCACCATGACTGAATGACCTCCCACCAGGTCCCTCCCACGACATGTGAGCTACAATTCAAGATGATATTTGGGTGGGGACACAGCCAGGCCATATCACCTCCCCAGGAAAGCAGCACGTGTGCAGCCATGTTGAGCCCCACCCTGCTTGGGAAATGCTCAGAATCCCAGAGCAGAAAGGACCGGGAGGGACCATTGCTTGCCTCCCTCCTCCTGCCCCTCCACAGCCCCCCATTCACCCCAAACCCTGCCCCTGCCTGGCAGAAGCCTCCCCAGGACACACCCCACACCAGAGGGGCAGGCTGCCATGTGAGGCACTGACCTCACCCATGGTGGATACGCCTGACCCTCCTGACCCCAAGTGACTGTTAACCCGGGGTCCATCAGGGGCTCGGCCTCTGGCAGACCTACCCCTCAGTGCATACACGCTGGTGTCCCGAGCAGAGTACAGGGCAGGCACCCCAGCTGCACATCCCGGAGGCCACGCTGTGCCTGGAGCATTGCTGCTGCTTTTTCTTTTTTGCAGTGGAGTCTCACTCTGTCACCCAGGCTGGAGCACAGTGGCACCATCTTGGCTCACTGCAACATCCACCTCCCGGCTTCAAGCAATTATCCTGCCTCAGACTCCCAAGTAGCTGGAATTATAGGCGTGTGCCACCATGCCCAGCTAATTTTTGTGTTTTTAGTAGAGACGGCATTTTACCATGTTGGTCAGGCTGGTCTTGAACTCTGGACCTTGTAATTTGACGGCTTCAGCCTCCCAAAGTGCTGGGATTACAGGCATGAGCCACCATGCCCAGCCACAGAGTGTTGCTTCTGACTGCAGGCTAAGGACATTCACGCCACACATGCCCCTGCGCAACAGCTCCTGGGGAGAGCCAAAGGCGTCCCTTCCAGTGGGAGCCAGCGACTGGTACGCAGGAGGGTCCTCGGGGGCTGTGCTGTGGAGCCCTCCTCTGGTGTGGGAATTCAAGCGATCTTGGCCATGGCCTGGCGTGTGGGCTCGGAGCCAGCCGTGACCGACCCGTGCGTGACACTTGCACTTGGCTGCTCTAGGAACCCACGCCTCAGTTTTCCTTGTCTGCTGAAAAAGACGTGCATAGAGGGATTACTCACGCGGGAGGAGCTCAGGAGTCCCTCAGTGTGAGCTGTTTCTCATGGGCAAATGTGGGGTATCCATGGTGGGCCCTCCATTGTGGATGGCTGAGTGGTGCTTTGACCTGGAGCTATGGTCGGATCCCACGATGCGGGAAGGGCTCCCAGGAGGCCGGCGGTCCTGCCTGCAGGAAGCAGTGCGTCCGTCCCCACGCACTGACATGCCTGTCCACTGGGGCAGTCACTTCACCCTGGGTGCCTGCGGGGCTGAGGGCAGGCTGCACACCTGGGCTGAGGCCTCCTTCTCATTCCTGTTTGTCTCTTGCTCAGGAGCTGATCTATGACTGGCTCCAATTGCAGCTTACTAAGCCTGTGGGGGAGGAGTGGGGAGGTGGGGACGTGACAAGCCCTACCTGCCAGGGTGTCCTAGTGGTGGAGGCGGCCGAGCACACTGGCCTGAATAGCTGGGAGCTCATGCGGGAGATGCTGGGAAACGAGGCTGTGACGTTGCAGGGAGGGCGGGGCCGGGCCCCCCCCGGACAGAGGTGCAGGAGTGACACAGCTGTGGGCTGCTGTGTCCCTCCCCATGCCCCGCCTGTACCTGGGAAGCAACACCCACAGGTGTCACGGGTCTGGGGAGCTGAGCGCCCAGAGGAGCTGGCAGTGGGAGGGTGGGAGCCACTGAGGTAATAGCAACGATCCCTGACAGCATAGGGGCAGGGGGCTTGCAGGGGGCGTCCCGTGTGGACAGCTGTCGGGACCTGCCAAGCACTGTGCCTGGTGATCTTCAGGCCTTGTGCCAGTCCCTGGGGAGAAGCTATCCACCAGGGGCCTCAGGGGAGTGGGTGGATGGGGAGGGAAGCCCGACCCACGCCTGGTCCCCTTGTGTCTAAGTCCCCATGGTTTCTCTGCCGCTAGGCTATGCCCACTGGAAGGGCCAAGTGCTGAATTCAGATGAGCTCCAGGAGTTGTACGAGGGCCTGAAGCTGAACAACGTGAATAAATATGACTACGTGCTCACAGGTGGGTGCTGGCGCGAGCTGCCGCAGCAGCCTACAGACCCCACTCCAGCCAGGGAGGCCCAGAGCACCCCCACCTGGCCCATCTCCCATCCCTGCTCCTTCAAAGAGGGCCTTGGCGTGAACATGACCTATACGTGTTCAAAGGTCATATGTAAGGGTGGGCACGGGGATCGAATCTGTAATCTCAGCACTTTGAGAAGCCTAGGAGGGAGGCTTGCTTGAGGGTAGGAGTTGGTCCTGGCCACGCTGTGCCTGCCTGGGCAATGACTGCCCTGGCAATGCCAAGTCACCTCTCCTCCTGTGGTCACACTTGGGTTCCAGTGCCCAGGGGAGGGTGCAGGCGGGATGTTGGGAGCACTGCCCGGGGAAGGGCAGTGGGGTGGGACACTCAGGTAGGTGACGGGCCGTTACCTAGTACACTGGCATCCTTTGTCAGCTTTCTGGTTAAAAACAAATTGTATTTCAGGCCAGGCGTGGTGGCTCACGCCTGTAATCCCAACACTTTGGGAGGCCAAAGTGGGCCAATCAGAGGTCAGGAGTTCTAGATCATCCTGGCCAACATGATGAAACCCCGTCTCTGCTAAAATGACAAATACTAGCCAGGTGTGGTGTCGCGAGCCTGTAGTCCCAGCTACTTGGGAGGCTGAGGCAGGAGAATTGCTTGAACCCAGGAGGTAGAGGTTGCAGTGAGCTGAGGTTACCCCACTGCACTCCAGCCTGGGCGACAGAGTAAGACTCCATCTCAAAAAAAAGAAAAATTGTATTGTATATAAATACAATTGTATTGTATATAAATTGTATTGTATATAAATACAATTGTATTGTATATAAATTGTATTGTATATAAATACAATTGTATTTATATTTTATTTTATTTTATTTTTTGGAGACGGAGTTTCGCTCTTGTTACCCAGGCTGGAGTGCAATGGCATGATCTCGGCTCACCGCAACCTCCGCCTCCTGGGTTCAGGCAATTCTCCT